GGCATGTTATGAGGAGGGAATTGTTGGGCCATTTTCCCAGCACATGGGCTGGTGTTTCCGACTCTACCGCATTTACGACAGAGGGACCCAACTTCCTTCGACTGTCCACTGGCTCCTAGGACTCCGCTTAAAGGTGCATAATTGATGTTTAGTTTTAAGGCGTTGGACCATTCCGACCCCGAAAGCGCTTGTTTCTGGCATATGTATTTATTGGCTTTCGGGGTCTCTTTAAAGTGTCGAACTCCAACGCCTTGCCACCTACAGCTGGCCCGAATTTAATAAAAAATTATTTTAAAACTGAAAATGCATTAAAACAAAAACCTTCCATGAACGATATACATGACATTAAGAAGCAACATACAAAATATAATGAAAACAAACTACAACCTAAAAAATATTTTAGCATCAAATATATTATAAAATTAACTGATAAAATAGAAAGAACATTTAAGCAATATGATGTAAGTGAAATTAAATTTGCAAGCAAACGAATTAATAAAATAGATAAATTTATTCCAAAACTAAAGATAAAGTACCTACCGATAAATTAACAAATATTATTTATAAAATAAACTGCAAAAATTGCAACAAAAAATCATATTTTGGACAGACATCACAATGGTTTGAAAAATGGCTTAAACATCACAAACAAAAATTGTAATTAAAAAAATAAAAATTAAATTAGCTACTGGACTCTCTCAGCATACTTATGCAAACAAAACATGAATTTGATTTCAAAAACGCCAAAACCCTGCATAATGAAAGTAATACTAATAAACGTAGAATAAAGGAAGCAATATATATAATTAAAAACATAAAAAAAACAGTAAATAATCATACGGATGTGGTTAATATGAACACATTTTATGCAAGTTCAATTAAAAAAATCAAAAATTGAAATGAATAGCTATTATTACTTAAAATAGGTCCATGTATAATATTGGGAAACATCATTGTATATGTTTATAAAAATAGTCTTCCCCTATTCCTGAAAGAATAACCAGTCACTTAATAGAAATGAGACCGACAACATGTGGGTGACATATGATAAGTTAATTTTAACATATATGAATCTTTTAATAAGAAGGAATTGTGTAATATTGATATGATAAAATAATTAAAGGTGGACATGATAAGAGTGAAACATTTTATTATGAATAGATGCATGTAATTCGCATAAGTGAAATGGACAGGTACGTGATGGGTAATTATGTATAAAAAATCTTTATATTTTGAAATATGTAAAATTTTAGATATGATTGTAAATTGAAAAATTTCTTTCAGACTTGAAAACGGCTCAACGAGCCGAAACGTCGTAATTAGGATGTTTTAGTCATTATTTATTATTATTACGGTGCTACAACCCGGTGACGAGTCTTGGCCTTCTCCACCAGCTTCCTCCAGTCATCTCCGTTCTGTGCGGCCATCATCCAGCTCCTGACTCGTCGCACATCCCTTGAATCTCTTGCCACACCGTCTGACCATCTTAGTTTTGGTCTCCCTCTTCTTGTTGTGCCGTAGAGAAGTTTTGTCAGGATCATCCTAGAGATTACTTCATTCTCCATCC